ATTTATATAATAATATTGTTTTTTTATAATATATATGATTATTTATATATATATATATATATATATATATATATATATATATATATATATATATATATATATATTATCCCCCCCTTCCTTTAGATTGTAAGCTCCACGAGCAGGGCCCTCACATTCTTTCTGTACTGAAATATATTGTAATTGTACTGTCTCCCTTATATTGTAAAGTGCTAAGCAAACTGTTGGCGCTATTTAAATCCTGTATAATAATAATAATAATATGTTCAGCTGTAATTAATGCCTATTGGATTGGAAAGTACTGCGCACAACAATATGACTGGATACCATTGCAATTATTTACCTTACATCCAAATGGTTAATATTACCAGACCAAATCAATTACCATACCGTTTTAGATGAAGTGATGGCATAAAAAGGGACACTGTAGTTTGATCATAAACCTATCAGCTTGAATATATAATCTCTATTAAGGAAATGGAGTTACCCCACACGGATAAAACAAATTAGATAGTATAAACTATCTTGCTACAGATATGTAATACGGGTACACTCATCCACGGGCTTAAATGTCAGCCTCTCATGGACAAGCCCCATACATCACCATATCCATACAAAAATGCCTCATTGTCTTGAGGAATGCAAATGATGTACTCTAAAATGCAGTACAGACCTCTCCAAAAAAAAGGGGGGGAGAGGAGTGAATACCAGGCGCATTCAAAAAGTGCTCCCAAAGAAAGACCCAAAGAAAAAAAAAACTCTACATGTTTCGCTCCAGAAAACAGAGCTTCATCAGGAGTATAAAGAATTAAAATAGGTCACATAGTGGCTGAAAGCTGTGTTTAGCTGCACATGGTAGCAAAATGGCACCTATCACTTTTTTCACCTCTATATATAGAGATTGCTGGCCATCAAAAATGACCCCCGCACATGCTCAGTTCCTCAACAGATTCCATCTTGTGGATAAAAACCTGCACATGCTCAGTACCTCAACAGACACCATCTTGTGGACAAAAAACAACCACACAGCAGCACATCAGTCCACAACACAATAGACACTGCTGGTGCTCTCAAACACTGTTAATGCCCCACTAGTTAAGAACCAAAATAACAGTTCATACCATTATATGGCATTTATGGAGCAAAATCAAACAAAAAGCACAGAAATCCCTAATCACACACAAAAGGAAGGAATGTAAATCCTTCATTTAAACCATAAGGTGCCCTTGAGCCTAAACGGAAAATCCATTTTGCTTCAAGTTTCAAAAGACATTTATCTAGGTCTCCTTTTCTAAGACCCAAATTATACAGTCATGGCCGAAATTGTTGGCACCCTTGATATTTTTCCTGAAAATCAAGTATTTCACACAAAAAAGGTATTGCAATTAACACATGTTTTGCTATACACATGTTTATTCCCTTTGTATGTATTGGAACAAATATAAAACAGAGGCAGAAAAGCAAATATGACATAATGTCACACAAAACCCCAAAAATGGGCTGGACAAAAGTATTGGCACCCTTAACTTAATATTTGGTTGCACACCCTTTGGAAAACATAACTGAAATCAGTCGCTTCCTATAACCATCAATAAGCTTCTGACACCTCTCACCCGGAATTTTGGACCACTCTTCCTTTGCAAACAGCTCCAGGTCTCTCTTATTGGAAGGACACCTTTTCCCAACAGCAATTTTAAGATCTCTCCACAGGTGTTCAATGGGATTTAGATCTGGGCTCATTGCTGGCCACTTCAGAACTCTCCAGCGCTTCTTTGCCATCCATTTCTGAGTGCTTTTTGACGTATGTTTGGGGTCATTGTCCTGCTGGAAGACCCAGGATCTTGACGCAAACCCAGCTTTCTGACACTGGGCCGCCCTACAGTGCGACCCAAAATCCTTTGGTAATCCTCAGATTTCATGATGCCTTGCACACAGTCAAGGCACCCAGTGCCAGAGGCAGCAAAACAACCCCAAAACATCATTGAACCTCCACCATATTTTTACCGTAGGTACTGTGTTTTTGTTCTTTGTAGGCCTCATTCCGTTTTCGGTAAACAGTAGAATGATGTGCTTTACCGAAAAGCTCTATCTTGGTCTCATCTGTCCACAAGAACGTTTTCCAGAAGGCTTTTGGCTTACTCAAGTACATTTTGGCAAAAACTGTAGTCTTGCTTTTTTATGTCTCTGTGTCAGCAGTGGGGTCCTCCTGGGTCTCCTGCCATAGCGTTTCATTTCATTTAAATGTCGACGGATAGTTCGCGCTGACACACTGATGCTCCCTGAGCCTGCAGGACAGCTTGAATGTCTTTGGAACATGTTTGGGGCTGCTTATCCACCATCCGGGTACTATTCTGCGTTGCAATCTTTCATCAATTTTCCTCATCCGTCCACGACCAGGGAGATTAGCTACAGTGCCATGGGTTTGCAAACTTCTTGATAATGTTGCGCACTGTGGACAAAGGCAAATCTAGTTCTCTGGAGATGGACTTGTAACCTTGAGATTGTTGATATTTTGCCACAATTTTGGTTCTCAGGTCCTCAGACAGTTCTCGTCTCCTCTTTCTGTTGTCCAAGCTTAGTGTGGCACAGACAGACACACAATGCAAAGGTTAAGTGAACGTCTCTCCTTTTTATCTGCTTTCAGGTGTGATTTCTATATTGCCCACACCTGTTACTTGCCCCCAGGTGAGTTTACAGGAGCATCACATGCTTGTAACATTTCTTATTTATCCGCAGTTGTGAAAGGGTGCCAATACTTTTGTCCAGCCCATTTTTGGAGGTTTGTGTGACATTATGTCGAATTTGCTTTCTTTTCCTCCCTTTTTTTTGTTTTGTCCCAATACACACAAAGGGAATAAACATGTGTATAGCAAAACATGTGTTTAATGCAATACGTTTTCGTGAGAAATACATGATTTCCTGGAGAAATATCAAGGGTGCCAACAATTTCGGCCATGACTGTATTTGTCAATAATCCAAAAGTTTAAGAGGTCCATCTTACCATCATGTTTTTGTATCATGTGTCTTGCTACTGGTCTATCCTTCTTTCAAGCAATATCATTCACATGTTCAAGAACTCGTCTCCTAAAGGAGCGAATTGTTTTTCTACATATATTAGCGGGCATGGGCATTTTTAAAGCATAAATCAACCCCCTTTGTGCTGCAATTATAGAAATCTCTTATTTTAATCTTCCCATTTTTAGGGTTAACAGATTCCTTGTTATTGCTCAAGAAAGTACATGCCTTACAGTGACCACACCTGAAACTACCTTTTGGTTTCTCAGGTAGCCAAGTGTGTTTCATTGATATTTTAGAGGTTTTTTCTAGGTGACTATGTGCTAACATGTCTTTAAAATTCCTACCCCTGCTGTAGGTTATCTTAGGGTCTTCAGATAGGATCTGTGATAGATAGTTGTCTTCATGCAAAAATGTTCCAATATCTCTTTAAAATGTTGAAAATCTGCCCTGATTGATTTGAGTATGTACCTATGATACACATGCCTTGCTGGTCATTCACTTTTATGGTCTTCTGACCCAACAGAGATTCTCTAGAAACCCCTTTTACTTTCTCATAGGATTTATTCAAATCAGTCTTATGATAGCTACATCTCATAAATCTGTCAAACAATTTTTGACTCTCCGTTTGGAATGCCCCTTCCATTGAGCAATTTCTCTTTGCTCTCATAAATTGACCAGTGGGGATTCCTCTTTTCAAGGCTGCTGGATGTGAACTTCCCCAATGTAAACAGTGGAGATGCTGAATTACAGGGTCCTTTTTCCACATTCAAACCAAGGAATAACTATATCCCGCCCTTCCCCTCAGGGGAGCAGCATCCAACTGTTTGTAAAATTGGTTGAGAGAGATTTGAATGATTTATGATTAAGAAGGCAGTGGAAAAATAAGTCATATAATATGACTTATTCTGAATGGAAGGCATTGGAAGATCTGCGTAGTATTAAAGAAGTATTTATAAAGGCAGCTAACAAAGGGGGAAATATAGTCTTGATGGACAGAGCATTTTATTTGAAAATGTGTTATGAGTTATTAAGCAATTAGAATAACTATGAAATACTTCAGAATGATCCAACCCCCAAATACCTGAGTGAGTTGAACTCTATTTTGAAAAAGGCTGTTGAAGAGGGGATCCTCTCCAAAGATGAGGTGCCTTTATTATGAATGCACATCCAACTATTGCAACTTTTTATGCCTTATCTAAGGTAAACAAACATAAAGAAAAACCTTCTGGCTGCCCTATTATCTCGGGCAATAACAATCTTAGAGAAGGAGCAAGCAAATATCTAGATTATATCATGCGTCCATTTGTATATAGTTTTACCTTCATATATCAAAGATACACGAGGCTTTGTAAACAGACTAATAGATATCACAATGGAAGATGATGTGTAGCTAGCTAGTCTAGATGTGGAGGCTTTATATAGTAACATCAGACATGACTTGGGTCTAAAAGCTTATAAATTCTTTCTGAAAACTATCTGAGAACCATACCACATTCACTCTTGAACTTTTGCAGTTTGCATTGGAACACAGTTTTTTCATATTTCATGGTAAAGTGTATAGACAACGCAGAGGAACTGCGATGGGTTCATCATGCGCACCTACTTATGCAAATCTCTTTCTTGGGTGGTGGGAGTGTACTATGGTCTTTGTAGAAGAACTAGAATGTTTTACGTCACACATTCTTATGTGGGTAACATTCATTGATGATGTGTTTATATTATGGCAGGGTTAAAAGGATCTGTTCATGGAATTTGTAGCCACCTTAAATTGAAACACAAGTGAAATTAAATATGATAGCATACATTTTTTGGACTTTAAAAGGGATGACGGAGGCAATATTAACCTCCCTGGTGGTGTTCCCGAGTGTAGCTCGGGTTAACTTTCAGTACCAAAAGCGGTAACCCTGAGCTACACTCGGGATTACCCTGCAGCGTTGCTCCAGGATCCCTGTTTCTTTTTCTTTACCTTGTCCTGCGCTCCCACGATGTCCCCCCCTGCAGCGTCCCCGGCCATCTCCTCTGGCCGATGCCGGCATCCGTCTTCCGGGTTCTGGTCCCTGCGAACGTTGGGACATATGGGACGTACAGGGGCCAGAAACGGCGGGAAATTAAAAAATGTTAAAAAGTGACATTCACTTAGTACACTAAAATTACATAGAAAAACATTACTGTATCAAACCATTTCACATACATTTTGTCCCTAGTGCTTTGTCCTGTGCCCTGCCTGCATTTTTACTGTTCTTTCTGCCTTGAAACTGAGAAAAGTCCATGGCGTCCAAAAAGCGTCCCTTTATGTCAAAAGCGGTTTTAGACCAGCTAGAGAACAGGGATAGTAAATTAGAACTACTTGCAGAATTGAGTGATAATGATTTGTGGGGAAATTCGTCATCAGACACTGAAAACGATTTTGCGACTAAGCTCAGTGATGTGCGAACTTGGAGCTATATTTCAAATTTCAGTGTTTTTGGTTTGATTATATTATTGAATTAAGTTTATTATTATATTATTATTTTTAATGATTATTTATGTTATAATTTATGATTTCGTGTTTCAAATTTTATTATACCCGGGATGTTTACTAGACTCTTGTACAGACAGATTTCAGTGAGTTATTCCTAAAAATTCCTACAATAAAAAAACAACATAATAATAAAAATGTGAAAAATATACAAATCACAAATAATAGCGCAAACCAAATCACACAACTAAATATAACCACCACCAAATAAGTGCATATTAATAGTGCAAACAAAAAATCAATAAATAGGGAATCTCAATATAGTCCATTCAGAAAAGTCCATATAAACATGATCCACAGTAAATGAAGTAATGAGATCCTCCTTCATAAGCAATGTGGTATTCAGTGCTCAAAAACACCCCATCAAAATGCACACTCACCATGTGCTAGTAATTAACCAGCATGTTAGTATATATCCAGCATTCACCAAACAGACTTCAAAGGACGATCCTCATGTGTTGGTAATTACTCAGCATATTACTATGTATCCAGCATATCACCAAACAAACTCCAGAGAAGATCCTCTCATATCCAGATTAGCACATGTGGGTAAAGAAAATACTCGCCATAGTGCAGTATCATCCAACAAATGTATTGCCAAACAAACCCCCCTTAAAATCACACTCACAATGAGCAAATAAAAACAAGGCATTTTGTTATATCAGAGCTCCAGTCTCTACATCCTGTGTCTCACCAGCCAGCCCGCATTCAAGATGGTAATAGCGCGATCACGTGATCCGGACACGTGCATCAGCATGAGTAGTGACGTCACAGGAAGGCCACACTCTGACGCGTTTTGTCCAATGACTTCTTCCGAGGGAAGATATGTACATTTATTTGTACATTGTAATACAGCGCTTCTCAATCTTTTTTCTTCGGGGAACCCTTGGCAACAGGACTGAGATCTCGGGGAGCCCCTAAAAAAAAAATGTCACAGTGCACGGAACATTGAATCTGATCAGCGAGCTGTAGATATAACAGCAATTAAGGAACCGTATCAAATAATAGATTAAATATAAAAAACTTACCTCCTTAATGTGAAATTGGGGCTTGCTTTTTTCTGCACAGATGCTCAATTCAGGGTCGAACTTGAGATAAGCACACACAAATTTCTTCTTCAACTGAAATTAAGCAATTTTGTTCGTTGCTCTTGATGCTTGTTAAACAGGAAAAAGCTTGTTCATACATGTAGGAAGTAGAAAACTGCAGCAAAACATTTAAAGCCTTTCTTTAAATGGCAGGATATTCTTCTTTGACTGAAATCCAGAATTTGTCCAAGGAAACATCATCAAACCCTCATCTGAGGGTATGGTCAGACTGCAGATCACAAATTTCTTCTGGCTCTTTTAAACTCAAGTTCTCTGACTGAAAAGAGGACTCAGGAAAAGGGCTCATCACCCAATCATACATTTGTGTTGAAAGAGAAGGAAAATAATATTCAATTTTGCTCTGCAGTACAAGTGGCTTTCAACTAGACTTGAAACTTGCTGGTATCCTTCCTCACTTCCAAGGCCAAGCAACATAGGAAACATCTCCAGATTTCCTTTAACAACATGGCTTTTACAAAGATTCAGTTTCCTTTTAAATCTAAGTAACTTGTCACTTGAAATCATTATATTTTCTCCAGAACCTTGCAGAGACTTGTTCAGCAGGTTTATGTGATTAAAAATGTCAGCTAAGTATGCCAGTTTCTGCAGCCATTCTTCATCTTCAAAGCACTCAGCAAAATCTGACCTACTAATTTCTTGAAAGTTCTCATTTAGTTCTTCTTTCAGCTCAAACACTCTGTGGAGAACTCATCCTCTGCTAAACTACCTGATTTATGTATGTAGCAAGAGAGTTACATGGTCCTTCTTCATGCTTTCACAAAGTTTTTGAAACTTTCTTGAGTAAACTGGTCTTTGTTTAATAAAGTTCGCGTTTTTTTTGTTGCATCATCCAGAACACTTTTTTCAGTTCTGTGCCAAGAGTTTTGGACATGAGCACTTCTCTATGAATAAAGAAGTGTGTTGTGACAACATTAGGGTTTTCTTTTTTTTTACAAGTGAGGAAAAGCCTTTCATGGATCCAACCATTGATGTGGCACCATCGGTACAGAGTCCAACACAACCATTCCAAGACAGGCCTTGTGATTCCAGATAGGCAGACAAAACATTAACGATACATTGATCCTTGGTTGTTTCAGGCAGCTCTTTGCAGCAGACGTTTTCTTGAATTTCATCACTATTTTCAAAATGTACAAATGCTACAAGATGGCATGCATTGGTGATATCAGTGGACTCATCAACCTGGATAGCGAAGCAATTTTTTTTTTTTCAGGATATCACACAAGACCTTTTCCATATCATGTGACATGTCATCAATACGCTGACTTATTGTACTGTCTGAGAGTGGAACCTATTCAATTTCTTTCACTGCAGCTGCTCCTAGCATGTGATTTATAATAATTTTACATCCTGACATTATTATATTCTCACTAACTGTGTGAATTTTTCTTTTTTGGCCAATGATTTCTGCTACCAAATAGCTTGCTTCCTGAGCCTTTTTACTAATGGAGACTTTTTTAACAAAAGCTGTACTTTGCTTGCATTGAGATTCCAATAGCTGTTTGAAATAATCAGCACCTTTAGATACCAAATGGCTGTGGTTTGTAGTAAAGTGTCTTTTCAGTTTTGCTGGAGCCATTGATGTATTTGTAAGTTGTTTGCCACAGATAAGGCACAATGGAATTGGACAATGTGGATCACCAGTCCATGAAAAAAAAACTCATAGTTAGGTAACTTTCACTGTAAAGGCAGACTTTTTTGGGGTCAGGTACTGTGCTGGTGCATGCAAAGGACTCAGAATGTTGTAATTCTTCCTCACTAGCCTTATCAGAAATTTCTGTAGTAAAAGAAGCAGGTGTACTATCCTCCTTTGTACTCACTCCTCCTCCTCACAAAATGCCACACTGGACCTTGAGCCATTTTGTTTTTAACACAACTAATACAAAAACACAATTGTATACTTCTGTAAGTCAACTAAACTATCACTAAGATCAACAACTGGGCATTAAATGAGAAAGTCTTTCTGCAATGCAATTGTTGCACATATCTGGTTCTCAGTGCTAAACCTACACTATAGTGCAAAAATGACAACACAGTTGAAAAACCCAACTTATCTGCACTATCTCTGCAAGGGCACAAATGCAACTTTTTTCTGTGTGCATAGGCACAGTACAATGTGGAGGTCATCAAGGCACAGTACGATGTGGAGGTCATCAGGGCACAGTACAATGTGGAGGTCATCAGGGCACAGTACGATGTGGAGGTCATCAGGGCACAGTACGATGTGGAGGTCATCAGGGCACAGTACGATGTGGAGGTCATCAGGGCACAGTACGATGTGGAGGTCATCAGGGCACAGTACGATGTGGAGGTCATCAGGGCACAGTACGATGTGGAGGTCATCAGGGCACAGTACGATGTGGAGGTCATCAGGGCACAGTACGATGTGGAGGTCATCAGGGCACAGTACAATGTGGAGGTCATCAGGGCACAGTACAATGTGGAGGTCATCAGGGCACAGTACAATGTGGAGGTCATCAGGGCACAGTACAATGTGGAGGTCATCAGGCACAGTACAATGTGGAGGTCATCAGGGCACAGTACAATGTGGAGGTCATCAGGGCACAGTACAATGTGGAGGTCATCAGGGCACAGTACAATGTGGAGGTCATCAGGGCACAGTACATGTGGAGGTCATCAGGGCACAGTACAATGTGGAGGTCATCAGGGCACAGTACAATGTGGAGGTCATCAGAGCACAGTACAATGTGGAGGTCAAGGACACAAGCACAGTACAATGTGGAGGTCATCAGGGCACAGTACAATGTGGAGGTCATCAGGGCACAGTACATGTGGAGGTCATCAAAGCACAGTACAATGTGGAGGTCATCAGGCACAGTACAATGTGGAGGTCATCAGAGCACAGTACAATGTGGAGGTCATCAGAGCACAGTACAATGTGGAGGTCATCAGAGCACAGTACAATGTGGAGGTCATCAGAGCACAGTACAGTCTGTCAAAACCTAATTGAACAAGCTGAAGGTAGAAGCTGATTGGCTACATTACACAGCTGCACCAGATTTTTTAGCACTCTCCAGTTTTACTAAATCAACCTCAAAGTGTCGTTGCATTGAGCAACCCCCCCCACTGTGTAGCATAGTACTTACAAAAGTTCTTGCTGTTCCGTCAACTGTGTGCACTTCTGGTTTGGAAGTACTGCTTCCTGTAGGTAGGTTTCAGCCAAGTTCTAAAGCTGTAGCGTTGTCCCCTGCTTTGTAACACAGTCAGCCCTGCTGAAAGTAAAACATTGGTCATGTTAGTAAAGGCACAGGGAGTCACCAGGGAAGAGCACAGGGGATCAGTACAGTGCAGAAGAGGTTTTCTGTCAGCATAATAGTACTTACAAGAGTTCTTGCTGTTCCATCAACTGTGTGCACTCCTGGTTTGGAACTATTGCTTCCTGTAGGTAGCTTTCAGCCAAGTCCTGAAGCTGCAGTGTCGTCCCCTGCTTTGTAACACAGTTAACCCTGCTGAAAGTAAAAATTTGGTCATGTTCAAAGGACAGAAGGCACAGTACAGTGGGGAGGTTATCAGGGCACAGTACAATGTGGAGAGGTGAGAGGAGGGTATTGTTGAGGGTGGAGAGCTGGGGGGTATTGTTGAGGGTGGAGAGGTGGGGGGTATTGTTGAGGGTGGAATGGAGGGGGGTATTTTTGAGGGTGGAGAGGAAGGAGGTATTGTTGTGGGTGGAGGGGTATTGTTGAGAGTGGAGAGGTGAGGGGTATTGTTGAGGGTGGAAAGGTGGGGGGTATTGTTGAGGGTGGAGAGATTGGGGGGTATTGTTGAGGGTGGAGAGGTGGGGGGATATTGTTGATGGTGGAGAGGTGGGGGGGGTATTGTTGAGGGTGGAGAGATGGGGGGGTATTGTTAAGGGTGGAGGGGTATTGTTGAGGGTGGAGTGGTGGGAAGGGTATTGTTGAGGGTGGAGAGGTGGGGGGTCTTGAGGTTGGAGTGGTGGGAGGGGTATTGTTGAGGGTGGAGAGGTGGGGGGTATTGTTGAGGGTGAGTTTTCTGGGGGGGTATTTTTGATGGTGGAGTGGTGGGGGGTATTGTTGAGGGTGGAGAGGTGAAGGGGTATTGTTGAGAATGAAGAGGTGGGGGGTATTGTTGAGGGTGTAGTGGTGGGGGGTATTGTTGAGGGTGGAGGGAGGGGGTATTGTTGAGGGTGGAGAGGTGGGGGTTATTGAGGGTGGAGTGGTGGTAGGGGTATTGTTGAGGTTGGAGAATTGGGGGGTATTGTTGAGGGTGGAGTTGTTGGGGGAGTATTGTTGAGGAGTGGAGTGTTGGGGGTATATTGTTGAGGGTGGAGTGGTATTGTTTGAGGGTGGAGAGGTATTATTGAGGGTGTAGTGGTGAGGGAATTTGTTGAGGGTGGAGTGGTGGGGGAATTTTGTTGAGGGTGGAGTGGGTGGGGGGTATTGTTGAGGGTGGAGTGGTGGGGGGTATTGTTGAGGGTGGAGTGGTGGGGGAATTTTGTTGAGGGTGGAGTGGTGGGGGGATATTTTTGAGGGGGGAGAGAGGCAGAAGGGGGGGGGGTAACTGAGGGTGGCCCGCACTACATCACTCAGCAGCCTCGCCCCCCTCCAAGAAGTTCTGCAGCTGAAGGAAAGGAAAGCTCATGCTATCAGCGCAGGCTGAAAGGGTCTGCCCCCATGTGCTCCAACAGCTCTCTGTCCCCCCTGCACTCTGCATTACTGGAGCTATAGGACTCTGACTGTGCTCTGGCAGTACAGAGTGCAGGGGAGACATAGATCCGCTGCAGCACATTGCACAGTGCAGTGGGGAGGCAAACAGCCACTGGCTGTATAATAGGTCAGGTCGGAGCTTACTTTCCAACTGAGCCACGTGTTCCTGCTCAGTCAGCGCTGTCATATACAAGCCACCTCCTTCTTCAGCTCCCACTCCTGTTCTCTGCACTCCTTCCTGCTCCGCCACCTGACTTTATAGGAGCTGGAACGAGAGAATCACCGGGCATTCATGCACACTGATAATACTGACTGTCAGCATTCCTTATGCACAGCATTGAAAATACATTTGGTGGTATGCATCCGCCATAATGTAGATTTGCCGCGGAACCCCTGGGGACTTCTCACAGAATCCCGGTTGAGGAACACTGTAATAATTTCAGCATAACCTTTGGAAAGAGGTTGCGGCGTCTGGTCTCTAGGATGTTTGTTTAGCAAGACAAAATAGAATGGCGTAGTTATTGCTAATACCCACATCTACTAAAGTACTTATTTCTGTAGAGAATCCACCAAAAAAAGGCATTTTGCCAATACGATACTCTAGTACACCTAAAATCACCTTGAAATGGGTTTCTTTCACGTGTTTGTCATCTTAAAAGCATTTCCCTTACTTAATGCAGTGAACACAGCTGCTAGATTCAATATAGACTTAATTTCGGATGCAGAGTTTACTTATTTGGTGCAGGTTCAGTGAGTTAAACCAGGAAAACCACATAATGGTCCTTTGTGTTGCATTTTTTTTATTAAATCTTCTAGTGACATTGTTTCCACCCATTCAATTGACACAGTAAGGACAGTCTTCTATTGGTGTTTTCTTCAAGGACAAAAGATCTTGGAACACTTCTGCTATTTATTGTCAATATTGTATTCATGTGCTCAGACTGCACACGTTCTAGCCTTTGCAATTGCCTTTGACATTTGTGGCAATGCAGTATTTTATGTTTCAGTTCTTTTATTGTATTGAATGATGCTAAATAACTTTACAGAACTTGAAATACCAACATTTTAAGGACCCAGTCAATTCAAAGCACACATTTCATTACGAAGACAAGCTCCTAAAAACATGTGCCTTTGTAGATATACAGTTAGGTCCATGTATATTTGGACACAGGCACAATTTTCATACTTTTGGCTCTGTATGCCACCAGAGTAAATTAAAATGAAACAATCCAAATTAAATTGAAGTCCATGCCATCAACACTGCCTCCACCATGTTTTACAGATGATGTTGGTGTGCTTTGGATCATGAACTCTTCCGAGCCTTCTCCACACATTTTTTCTCCCCGTCATTCTGGTACAGATTAATCTTAGTTTCATCTGTCCAAAGAATGCTTTTCCAGAACTGGTCTGGATATTTTAGATGTTTTTTGACAAAGTCTAATCTGGCTTTTCTATTCTTCAGACTTATGAATTGTTTGCACCTTGTGTTGAACCCTCTGTATTTGCTCTTGTAAAGTCTTCTCTTGATTGTAGACTTTGACAATGATAAGCCCACCCTCCTTGGAGAGTGTCCTTCACTTGTCTGGATGTTGTGAATAGACTTTTTCTTTACCATAGAAAGGATCCTTGGATCATCCACCACTGTTGTCTTCCGTGGACGTCCATGCCTTTTTATGTTGCTGGAGCTCACCAGTGCGTTCGTCTTTCCTCATGAATGTACTCAAACTGTTGATTTGGCCACTCCTAATGTTGCTGCTATCTCTCTGATGGATTTGTAATAGTTTTTTAGTTTTAATGAAGCCTTACAATGGCCTGTTTCACTTGCATAGATAGCTCCATTGAAACACATGATGTAGATTCACAGCAATAGATTCCAAATGCAAATACCACACTTAGAATCAACTCCAGACCTTTTACCTGCTTAATTGATGAAGAAATAATGAAGGAGTAGTCCACACCTGGCCATAATAAAACAGCATTCAATTGTCCAATTACTTTTGGTCCCTTGAAAAAGGGGGGATGGCTACTCTTAAGAGCTGTAATTCCTAAACCTTCCATCCAGTTTGGATGTACATACCCTTACCTGAAACCTGAGAGTGTGCACTTTCAGCCATATCCATTATATAACTATGCCTTGAATATGTTTTGGTAAAATACCTGAAAAAAAAACTAAAATTGTTCCTGTGTCCAAATATATTTGGACCTAAACTGGATATATGTGTAGACAGATGACCCCAGAAGTACACTTGGTTGCTTGAACCACCCTAGAGTGTCTTTTCAGGGATTTTTCTAATGCAGACACCTCTGTCAGTCCCCATCGGTTGATGGGGGGGAATAGCAATTTTCTTTCCTTCCATCCATGATGGAAGCAAAAAAAATCACATCATCTATGGGCTGCCTAAGGTACTACTTTAAAAAAAAGCATTTAAAGCAAACTCTCCTAAAGAATTACAATCCAATCCCCTTCTGAAAAAGGTAGTTTTCTGGCTAACACACTGACAATTCTAGGTCCAGTAATCATTGAGTCACATTCTTGACAAATTTGCATATTTACAAAGTCAAAGTAAAGTCAGACATTTTTATTTGCATGCTTGTAAGCAATACAACGTTTTAAAGCAAAGCCAAACTCCAGGATAAACAAATATTACTTGCATTTTGGTGTGATTAGTTTATTCCTTATAGATCTGTTCAGTTACATCACCAAAGGACATAGGAGCAGGCTGGAGGAACCACAGCATGGAAGTATTGGCCACGCATGCAAGTGACTGATACCTGCAGCAGCCAGAGATCAGCAAAGCAATAGAGTTGTAAGACATGCATTGCTGAAAAGGCAAGTATTTACCTCCTCTTTTACTGGCTGGACTTAGGTTAAGTTTGCTGCACATACTGACAGTCATTTTAATGTTATAAATTCCCCGTAGCCTGGGTTCACACTGATGCGGTGCAGAATTTGCACCGGTTTCTGTGCGATTTCTGCACCGCACCATAATTGCACCCCATTCATACAAATCGCTGTGGGCGTGTATTTTAACTTAACGACGCCTAAGAATCAGTGCGATGTGCAGATTCGGATGGCATGCATCCGATTCTGGTACAGACAAAAAAATGATCCTGCAT